AGCTTGCAAGACGGACCGTATGATTCTAACAAAGAGCGCAACTTTAAAATCTAGTCAGTGTTGGAATGTCCGGGCCAAAAGTCGTTATGTTTCTATCTCGAAGGCTTATCCCTGCAAGCCGAATTCTGATATCATTAATTTTAATCCTTACAAATACGGAATAGACTGACAAAGCAAACCCTACAACACTGAACTCTAAGTAAAAAGGGTCATTTTGACTCAGTTATTTGTACTCATTCATATATTTCATAAAACTTGCTCAGGTGAACAACAGCGCGCGCAATACCTTTGGAATAGCCGTGCGCGCATCGTAGCTTCTTTCTTCCACAGGATAAGTCCAGCAAGCAGTGTGATCACGGCCACGGAAATCAGACCATTCAACAGATTATTTCCAAATGTCCGCTGGTACTAACGTTCGGCGGCAAAATAACTTAATGCTTAAGTTATGGATATTCATCGGCTAAGAAATCTGGATATTCAGATAAACAGCTGATACCCCAATCATACGGTTGAAGTCTCAGTTTCTCATCAACAGTTAAATTTACGTGGACGATTTATGACCAGAAGATTAGTGAATAAATTACTTACATCAAGAAATTCAGAAGAACACCCTGTCATCAGAATCAACCGTACTTTCCCACTGCTGACAACGTCTGACATTGCTAAAACAAGACATAAAAAACGCAGGACAACAAAACATGATAACTTCAAAGAAATATAATATTTTCCTGTGATAATGATATTACGATTTAATCACTCAATCACCGATTATATAGGGAAGAATGTAATCCAAATTTTTATCTTCTGCATGTTAACCTGAGAAACTGGGCGGTATTCCCAAGCTGCAGCAGCAAATTTCGCTTAACATCGTAAATAACTGTCAATCGTTTCGCCATATAAATGTGACACCGGTGACTTGCTCTTGCCTTGTTACCTTGCGACAGCATCTCTGCATGATTTTTGTCACTATCAGAAGTTTGAAGAGCGGATGCATATGAAAAATAGAAAAAACTCAAATTCAGACTCAGATGCAAAAATTTCGACAAACAAGAGTACAATGAACTCAATTTCGATGCAAGCTATCACGACGCCTATTAACGTTCATCATCGAAAAGGATGACAACCACAATTTAACCTAATCTGAAAGTGCTGGGGATTTTGTTATGGATCAAATATGGTCGTGTATTTCTAGATTCCATTTTAAACAGTTAAAACAATATGCGAAACTTTTAAATCAATATGGATATATGTATAAGCTGTGTTTTAAAACCAGTCAAATCATTACAAGAAACTTTCAACTGAAAAAACCTGTTAGTCTAAAAATTACTACATGCATTTCTAAAAGATTGAGCTTAAAAATGCAGTACTGCTGATTCAATTGTACCGAAGAAATGGGACGATAATTAATTACTCTTT